AAGTCAGGCTTGGGTAGTTCTTGTCAACTTTCAGTACAAAAGGGGAATTTTTCCCTGGTAAGCGATTACATGGTCCCAGTAATCGATTACAAGTGCATTTGTCCTATGTCAATGGTGTAGGACCTCACCTCTCAATGAATGACGAACAAACTGCAGAAAAAAATAATATTTTTTGGTTACAAATAACCAACAAAAACTTCCAAAATGATCAACAAAAGCCAAAAGCAAAAGCCCAACCCCAAAATACGAATACGGAAAAGGAAAAAAGTACATACCTTGTTCAGAGAACCTATGTCAGCGAACGAACCCATTGCACAAAAAAAGCTCAGAACTTCGACACAATCGACACCGAAGGAGACACTTTGAAGAAACCAACGACAAAGATCAGTGAACATAGATCGTCGAAATCACAAACTCGACAGAGAAAGAGAGACTTTGAATGGGGCCAGCGACGACGGAGATTGCTGAGCGTCGAGAGAGATTGTTGAACGTCAAGAGAGAAATGCACAAAATGGAGAGAGAGAAGTTCAAATGAAACTCATGAAAATCCTAAAATTGAGAGAGGAGAGAGAATGTTGAACGAAGATGGGTGCTTTTGGAATAATGAGATCTGGAATCTTGATCCCTTTTTCAAAATCAGATTTCTTAAAAAAAAATATTCAAAATGACCCAATACAATGCTGACACTTGTCATTGTCCAAATATTATCAAATTTGCGTTGTGAACTTATCGGGTCCTTTAATAAATAATTTGACGTTGAATGTTTCAGGATCATATTCCTGCTTGAGTCTATTAAAACTAAATTAAATGAAAAGTCTAAGTGTATCATATGTTCACTAATTTAATTACGATTTTGTAATTTCATTCAGTCATTATGGTTTATGAATTTCAAACAACTCAAAATTACTTTTGCTTTCTGATTTGTTTCTTTTGATGTACATGATTATGTGGCTTAAACTTTTTCATTAGTAAGGACTAAAATTATAAGGACTTTTAAGAGAAAAATAATTCATGAAAATTAAAATATTGATCTAACATTTGTAGTACATCAGTGAGAACAAAAGTTATAGGAAAGAGAAAAAAGTAAGTGTTTTAAAAAATATATAAAATGAAGGTATATGTGTATTATTTTTCCTTCTAAAATTAGTCTGAAATAAAAGCTAAAAGTTTAATTGCGACATGTGATGAATTTTTTTGGGATTAAACACCGGTTGGTTCAAAGTGAAGATATATTATATTTTTATCAGTTTTTTAAAACTTAAACAAGTTTTATTTGTTATAAATATTTTAGAACTTGACTTTAGTCTCTAATTTTTAAATTTGGATGGTAAATAATTTGAATTTAACATAGATGTTTTATGAGTGCAGAAGTCTTAATTATAATGTGAACCAATCAGGAATTATTTTTATAATTTTAAAAGTATTAAATTATTATTAATAACAACGTGAAAAAAAAAACTATCATTGAATGTATTTTTTATTCAAATACTTTTGAGTTCTACTAGTAGACTAGTAGTGATCCAACTCACATGGTCATATACCTATCATAATCATTAAGTATATTTTTAACCTTGTAAATATATCAAATTTTGGTTTCAAATATTAATTTTTTAATCTAATTACTTTTAAAAGTAAATGATTAGGCCTTCACTTTTGAATACTTTTGTTAACGTTGACCTAAGTTATTATAATTCAAGTCGTCACTGCATCTATTTTGTAGTCATTATTATGTTAATGTGTGGCAGTGCATAACAGGGGAAGGCGTAAAATAGTTCATATTCCTTCCTTATTGAAAAACTTACTGAAAAATATATGTTCTTTTTTCTTTCATTTTTTAGGCTCAAATCAATTAAATATATTAAGCCCGAAAATTTCATAAAGGCTTCAAATTTTCTTATGGTCTTATATTTTTCTTTCAGAAAAAAAAAATGAGTGTACCAGGTGCAAGGTTTGCGAAATTAATCTATCTATCCATAAATAGTTATATTTCTTGAAGGAAAAAGAAAAATTAAAATGAACATAGTAATAAATTAAGTCTTCATTTATAAATTTGCCAATTAACACAAGTTAATTATGTATGAAATAATTACCATAAATTATTTAAATTCTTTCAATTACCATGTATTATTTTAATTATCTGTGTGATTAATTATAATAAAATAATATATAGCAATGATATATAATCAAAAGAACTAATATTTCAAAGGTATATATTATATTATTTTTCATATATACCAATAAATTAAACAATTATAGGTTAGTATGAAATTCTATAAATAGACAATGATAGTAATCAACCTATTGATGCATTTATTGGTTTAAATCATGCATTTAAATGGGTAATTTAACGATACACAGAGGACCCAAAAACATTAGTACAGTCTTCAGTATAAAGAATTAAAAAGCTTTTAAGAAAAACTTTGAACTTATTTTCTGCTGTAAACTTGCGTCCAAAAAAGAAAACTTAAATTAGTAACATATTTTATTTATTTAAAAGTACTTTTATTAGGAAACTTATACATAGATGCATTCACTACATGAGACTTAAACATGTAGTGTCTTTTTCAAACTAATAGAAAGATTTTGTAAAGAGAGTTTGCACTTTCTCTGCTGGATTGTCCAAAGTCCAAACAAAAAATGCTTGAGTGTTTCATCCTACACCTCCAACATCTCATCCTGCACCTCCAAAAATTCCATTTTTAACCTTCTGACATATGCACCTCCAACTTTTCAAAAATTTTATTTTTTAATAAATATATTTTTATTTTCTTCTCTCTCTTATTAAACACACTTTAATAAATACATTTTTATTTTTTTCTCTTTCTTATTAAAGTTCTTCTGCACCATTTTAATAATAATCTAATTTAATTTAAAATTTAAATATTATTTAATATAATTTTATATTTTAATAATTATTAAAATATGATTTATATCATAATAATAGTTATATTAAATATATAAAAATCAAATAACTAAAATAAAAGTAATAATGATAAAAATAAAAAATAAAATAATAATAACAATAATATAAAATTTGCTTTAATATATTCAAATATATTAAATTATATTAAAATATTACAATAAATTAAACAGTTATTAAATTTTGAATAAAAACAAAAATTTTCAAAAACTTATTTATTGGATACCGTAAAATATGTTAATAGTTTTTTTTAAAATTTACTAAATATTTAATTTAATTAAAAATAATAATATTATTTATTATATTTTTCTAATTTAATATTATTAAAATATTATTTATATTTTATAATAATTTTATTAAAAAAGTAAAATAAAATAACTAAAATAAAGTTAATAATAATGAAAATAAAAATAGTATTGAAAATCACATAAAAGATATTTAAATATATTATATTATATTAAAATGTTAATTTAATTAAATAATTATTAAAGTTTAAATAGAAAATAAATTTAAAATTTGTTAATCGGATATAGAAATCCGATAACATATGAATCGGATATGGATATCCGAAGTTTTCAAAATTTTGTTTTTTATTTAATTTTAATAATTATTTAATTTAATTTAATAATTTAATATAATTTAACATATTTAAATATATTAAATGTCATTTTAAATATTATTATTATTATTATTATTATTTTTATTATTATTACTTTTAGTAATTTTAATAAAACTATTATAAAAATATATATTATATTTTAAATAAAAAACTATCCAATAAATAAGTTTTTAAAAATTTTGTTTTTATTTAAAATTTAATAACTCTTTAATTTATTGTAATATTTTAATATAATTTAATATATTTGAATATATTAAAGCAAATATTATATTATTGTTATTATTATTTTATTTTTTATTTTTATCATTATTATTTTTATTTTAGTTATTTGATTTTTATATATTTAATATAACTATTATTATGATATAAATCATATTTTAATAATTATTAAAATATAAAATTATATTAAATAATATTTAAATTTTAAATTAAATTATATTATTATTAAAATGGTGTAGAGGAACTTTAATAAGAAAGAGAAAAAAATAAAAATGTATTTATTAAAGTGTGTTTAATAAGAGAGAGAAGAAAATAAAAATATATTTATTAAAAAATAAAATTTTTGAAAAGTTGGAGGTGCATATGTCAGAAGGTTAAAAATGGAATTTTTGGAGGTGCAGGATGAGATGTTGGAGGTGTAGGATGAAACACTCAAAATGCTTTACTTTCTACATTATACCGACAAAATGCTTGGTAAAGTGATGCACACTATTAATAGAATAAAATACACTATTTTTTGTTGGGAAAAAGTTCGTTTATGGATATAATGATCTCTTAATTTTCTTATTAGCATGTTCCTATGTTTCTACATTCTATATGATTACATCTTCGGATGTACAAAAATAATATCCTAAGATGTTAGGTGGTGGTAGGGCGTGGTGTGTTTCACATATGCAAAAATCATATCAGAAGTAAGAATAATGATATTTTTACATTCAATAAATCTTTACATATAAAAAAGGTTTATACATATGTATGTTTTTGAATGAAGAAAATGACGCGAAGAGAATCGAAGAGACCAACGAACCACAAAGCAGATTCCGATCCAACATCATAATATTGATTCCACGAACTATCTATAAATGGTTGTTTCCCACTTCCAATAATGCTCAGACCACACCATCTCACGTTACATCATCACTCATATTCACTGCTAAAAAAATCACAACATTCTACACTCTTTTAATGCCTTATTTTGGAATCTCAAACACAGATTTTTGTCAAGGTATAGTTAATAAATTTAATATGAAAAAATTAACAAGTCTTTTTCTTTTAGATAATTTTCTTAAAATTTAACATATGAACAAAAATAAAGCTTAAAAAATGTTACTTGTTAATAAATGTGTAACTAACTTATTTTGGCGTATTATTTGAGCAATTATTAAGTGCCTAACCTATTGTCTATGAATGAGTAGAGGTGACGTGAGATGGGAGCTACACTGCTCTGCGAACCGTTAACTCGAGAAGAAGTACCTACACCCTACAACCGTACGCCTTCCCACAACGGATAACTAACTACAACTTTCATTTCATCTTTTCTTATATACTTACTCTCTTCAACAAACAATAACAACAACACCACACACGCTGACGCCGTCAAACCAAATTTCACTCTCCTTTTCAGTGCGTGCCTTTCACCAAACACGCCCTTTCTTCTCCTCTCTCTCTCTCTCCAGATCTTTGCTCTCTCCATTTTTCTGTCCTTCCTAACTCAATTTCCCTCACGTAAACCATGCTCCACCGCTTCACAAATTAGGGTTTCTGCTGTCCGACACGTGGGGGAATCGATGGCGTCACTCAATCCGCAGCCTCTGCAGTTCCAGCACCCTGCGATACCCGTCGGCGACGACGGTGACAGTGACGCCGCTGATGATGATGCTATGGATGAGTTGGAGGATGCGCATGTTACTTCACTGAACGTCGTTGCTAATGCTGCCAGTGCCTACCAAGAACCGCTGCCTGCTATGCCTTCCAGAACTAGCGAGCTCACTCTTTCTTTCGAGGGTGAGGTTTATGTCTTTCCCGCAGTCACTCCTCAGAAGGTGATTCTATTTATATAAATAATATACATATACATACATATATACATATACATATACATACATATATACATATACATATATACATATATATATATATATATATATATATATATATATTAATTTCTTGGAATGTTCTCAAGCTTCAAAGCTTTTTTTTTATTATGCTATGGTTCGTCGTTTTATTGACACAATTCATTGCGATTGGTTTGGGTCATGTAGGTTTTTTGGTAAATTTAACAAATTGAGGGGCGGGGAGTTTTGGTAAATGTTAGGATTGTAAAGAAAAAGTAAATAACACAAAGGTTAAATAAAATTACATGCTCAGTGGTTTTCGGATTGGCAATATTCCTATAGAATTTCTTTCAAAGCAGAGATAATGAAACCGTAGACACAGAATCAAGTAAAATTCCATCAACGGTATAATTTTATGTAATTAATGGTATGTATTTTGCTGTAAGGGGTGCAGGATGTGTGGGCTATGTCTTGGTTTTTGTCATGATTAAAGAAAGATTTATAAAGCATGGGTGAATTAGAAATGTGCTGCAGAGTTGGATTGTTTACAATCTGTTAGTATTAATCTATTGAAGAATAAGCAGTTTGGAAAGGCTTAAGCTTAGTATTGGGAACGGTATAAATTTAGCCTCTAGCTTAGGCTTCACCATTTTGGGTATTGCATTGTACCTAGACTTAATTGCATCAGCCAAACGATATAGTACTGCAATTTTTCTTAAGTAGAATGTAATGAGTTATAAACTGTAATTACCAAAATAAATTGAGTTCCTATCTCGGATACTTTTAAGGATTTGAAATTTTAAGATAATATCACAGAGGCCTTATAAAATAAATTAAACCCCCTTCTAAAATATTATGGGATGAGGTCATTTATCTCACTAAATGATGCGTGTCCAGTTAGAGTTCGGTGAAGTGTTTAGTGAGTCTCAAATGAATTTTAACCAATAAAAGAATATATTTTATTCATAGTTCTTGTTGGAAGTCCAACATCGACTAGAGATAAGGCCAAATTATAATATATAAGTGAGGTGCAAACCTCACCTAACAAGCCGGTTTTGTAGGGTTGAGTTAGGTTTAAAGTCCACTTCTAATATGGTATCAGAGTCATGGTTTAGAGCCTATCCTAGCGAGTTCTAAATGGGCATTCTATTTTTCTATTCCACCCGTTATCGGGTCGTTATCGGACCACCCAATTTCTACAATCACGCACGAGATGTCTATACCTCGGAGTGAAGGGGGTGTGTTGGAAGTCCCACATCGACTAGAGATAAGACCAAATTATAATATATAAGTAAGGTGCAAACTTCACCTAACAAGCCGGTTTTGTAGGATTGAGTTAGGTTTAAAGTCCACTTCTAATAGTCCTCTTGAGTCTTAAGCCTAAGTAGTGTCCGTATTCCGAGTCAACTAATGATAGCAACTTGAGTAATGTATATGGGGTGCATAAGTTTCATATGGTGGAAAATTTAGTATTTAGTTCTCACTTCTTAGTTGTTAGATTTTGAGGATGAATTCTCCAAATAGGTGCTTGTCAATTGATATTAGAGCTAATCAAACAATTGATAGTAATTGTTAAGCTAACTATTGTAGACTGGTTCAAATTTCTGATCATTTCAAACAATTGATGGGAGATCGAAACCGGCATTTAAATTAAATTAAACCAATGTACTGTTCAACTCTTCGAAAGAATGGCTAAGAGAAATGCTTGGTAACCAAATTTTACATTGCAGGTTCAAGCCGTCTTGCTGCTTTTGGGAGGACGTGATGTGCACGCAGGTGTGCCTGCTGTTGAACTACCATTTGATCAAAGTAACAGGGTAATGTATATACATCTACTTAACGAGATCAGCTTGATATCATTTTAGGCTTTCATTTGAGTACTTTACTAAATTCTCTAGGGTATGGGTGATACTCCGAAGCTTTCGAACCTTTCACGAAGAATAGCATCCTTGGTCAGATTCCGCGAGAAACGAAAGGAAAGATGTTTTGACAAGAAAATTAGGTATACTGTGAGAAAAGAGGTGGCACAGAGGTAAATAAAATTTCAATTGCACCCATTTCACCTAAATTATGAGATGACCTTTTTACCAATGAAAATTGACTTGGTTGTGATAATAATATCAGGTTGTTTCTGAAGTTTAATGTGTTCTTTTATATTTATAATTTTTTTGTGTTCTGTTTTTGTTGTCTTTTGCTCTCTTGTTAGGATGCATAGGAAGAATGGGCAGTTTGCATCCTTGAAAGAAAGCCCAGGTTCATCTAACTGGGATTCTGCCCGGAGTTCTGCTCAAGATGGCACTTCTCATTCTGAATCTGTGTGAGTTTTAAAGCTTGAGTTTCCTACACACACACACACACACACATATATATATATATATATATATATATATATATATATATATATTATTTTATCAGTGTT